AGCTGGAGTGACCAGCGGGAGTGCAACGGGTGGATCTCGGGCAGCTGGAAGCTCCGTCCCAACAACGGCAGCATCGTCCAGCAGCGCCCGTGCATCCTGGTGCTGGACGACTTCAAGTGCCACAAGGACGAGGGTTTCATCGCCGCCCTCAAGAGAGACGCCAACACCATCGTCACCTTCATCCCAGGCGGATTAACGCCCTTGCTCCAACCGCTCGACCGCATGCTCTACAGGCAGATGATGCGGCTGCTGCGGGGCAAGTGCACCGCCTACAGCGCGTCGGCGGTCGCAGACGCCCGGTCGGGGAAGATGAAGCCACCGGAGCGTGGGATCGTCTCGACGTGGTGCAAGGAAGCGTGGGAGTCCATCACCCCCGAGACGGTGAAGACTTGCTTCAAGATCAGCGCTCTCACGCTCGCGCTCGACGGCAGCGAAGGCCACGCCTGGTGCGAGCACAACTTCGGGGAAGACTGCCGCGACCTTCTCGAGGAGCAGCACGCCGTGTGGCTCGCTGAGCACCTCGACGTGACTCTCCCGCCGCTCAAGCTGCTAAAGGAACCAGGGGGGTGGACTCCAACCCCATGTTCGTATATGTCCTTTACTTGGAAGGGGAAGACGTTTTATCTCTTGTATTAGACACGCAAGGGGAGTAGGGAGAAGTGAAGCCCTCTTGAGTTCGAGGGGTCCCCGCACATGCAACCATTTCAAGGTGCACATATGCCCCATCTGCGTGCCCTCTGTTGTTGCCGGTAGATCTAACCAATCCGTATCCAAACACACGAGCACCCTCCCCGGTTTGCACGCGAATGGCAAGCCTAACGTGGGGCATGATACCCCTGGACTACTAAAGGGACTCAAAACAACAACAGGCTCGCGGGAAAACCCGGCCAAGCGGATCAAAAACCCTCGTCTAACACCCTAAATATAGAAAACCGTCGCTATCACGGAGGATTCCAAAGGCCGCACTTCCAAGACAAGATCAAGGCAGGACAGATCAAACCGGTCACGCTGANTACATATGCCCCATCTGCGTGCCCTCTGTTGTTGCCGGTAGATCTAACCAATCCGTATCCAAACACACGAGCACCCTCCCCGGTTTGCACGCGAATGGCAAGCCTAACGTGGGGCATGATACCCCTGGACTACTAAAGGGACTCAAAACAACAACAGGCTCGCGGGAAAACCCGGCCAAGCGGATCAAAAACCCTCGTCTAACACCCTAAATATAGAAAACCGTCGCTATCACGGAGGATTCCAAAGGCCGCACTTCCAAGACAAGATCAAGGCAGGACAGATCAAACCGGTCACGCTGATTACACACCCGAAGCAACGCTCTCCGCGTTTCTAGGCTCCAGCCGCGGGTGATGCGCCGGCACAACGCTTCCTACGTGACGTACCGTGGTCATATATGCCAAGTGCTAAAACCACTACATAAACCAAACAGAACAAGAGAACGCTACACCGGTAGGTTCATCAGAGCCTTCCGGTGGTAATCTAACTTCTTTCTGCCAAGGACCTTGGTCAGCATGTCGGCGTGCTGCTCTCCAGTCGGAACATACTCTGCAGTGATCTTGCCCGACTTGAATAGCTCGCGAATGAAATGGAACCGCACGTCGATGTGCTTGCTCCTCGCTGAGCTGAACGGGTTCTCGATTATTAAGGCGAGAGCCCCGTTGTTGTCCTCAAGGACCTTGATCTTCGCCCCACTCGTCTCGGGCGCTATGAACGACAGAACGCCACGCACAAACAACGCCTCCTTCACGCCCTCCCCGGCTGCCATAAACTCTGCTTCCAAGGTCGACTGAGCCGTCACTGGCTGCGTCTTGGTGGAAGCACACACTACGGTACCACCTACGGTCACAGCTAGCCCGGTCGTAGAACGCCTGTCTACTTCGTTGTCAGCGTAGCTGGCATTGACAAACACACTTAGGTCTAGTCCTGACCCCCGTACGTAGGTGATGCCGAAGTCCTTCGTGAAGTTCAGGTAGGGCATGATCCGCTTAAGCGCGTTCCATATCCTCCCGGTGGGTGAGTGGGCGATCTTCTGGAGCTTGTTCAGAGGCAGGGCGATGTCTGGCCTCGTCAGCTTCGTCCACATCAGGCATCCGATCGCCTCCCTCACAGGCTTATCCACCGCGGGCTCGTCATCTCTCTTCGGCC